TTTCCTTAAGCTACTGCCATGCTATAATGGCAAGGAGGGCTTTGCTCCCACTGCCCATGATGCTTATGACCCATCAGGATTCGCTGTGATCTCTGCCGTCAGAAGTAGGCTGATTGCACCCAGATTTTTACAGTGTTACTTCATCTCTCTTCCTGCTTTGCCGGCATGCTGTTTTCCTAAGAAAGAGTTTGCACTTCAGCTCTTCCAAAGGATTTCTCTTTCCATACATTTCCTGTTTGCTAGGAGAAAAACCCTTTGTATTTGCTCTGTGATTTGCAATGACAAAGGGTGGCAGATCATTTTGGTCAGCTTGTCTACTGAGCGCTCAGCTCGCTCCAACCCACGGCCAGTTGGATTGAGCAACACAAATCCACAAAAGCTAGTACCACAAAATCCTTTGCAATGCTAATTGTGGCCAGCGCTGCTTGCTTCTGCAGGTTCAATAGGAAATAAAATATCACAATGCTTGGAGCAAAAGCTGCAGTAGCATCCTATGTTCTCTGGCTGGATACTCACAGATGCCCTGAAGGATCCACTTGGGTTTGTTTTGCCACCAGACACCAAAGTAGTAAACAGGGAGCCCGCTGAGGATGATGACGAAACCAGTCGCACATTCCACCGGCGTCATCCAGAAGGAGACCACAATGAGGAACAAGCAAGCCAGGATGAAGAAAATGGGCAGTAACACATTAACCTGGGCAAAGAAACCACGAGAAAGGCAGGAAGTTAGTCAAAATTGGTAAGAAACAGAGAGGCCAGTTACTTGCCAGGGCAGTTTATCAAACCAGTTTTCGTCCTAGAAGGAGACCCCATGACAGCTCTTTGATAAAGACACCGGACTGCCCACGGCTTGGAGTGAGAGGCCTGCGAGGTTTCGATTTCCGTCAGGAAGTTTGGCATTTACCTGTTGCTCTTTATCAACCCTGGGGAGTTAAGAAAGAATCTTCCAATCTTAAAAACAGCTAAAAAGGACACAGGAGGACTAAGTGACTTCTCCCAATCCACACAGCAAGTCCTCAGCAGACTCAAGACTTCCAGGCTCTCATTTCCAGGTCATTCCAGGCCAGAGCATCAGATCCATCGTCCCAAACGTATCACTGTCACCAATGCAGACTTAGGCCAGTGAGTCAGACTTTTCGGTACTCTTAAACTAGGGGATTCAGCTACGTTGCTTTTAGCAGGGACGGCACTTCTGACAGTGGTCTGGCTCTTTTGGAGAAGTGATGCCCTGGGAAGACTGCAGTGTAGGTCTGTACTATTTTTTCCCTTCGGGCTGCATCACTTGTTGCTGGAGCATGCTCTCTGGCTCGTAATGGGATGTACAAATCTTTAAGGAGAGCTTGACATGGACTTGGCCTCCCACCAACAGAGTGTTTCCAGGGCAGCCAGGGACAAACAGAATAAAGCTCCCTTCGTTATTTCCTAAAATGAGTATATTTAAAGTGAATTCCTTACTGGTGCAAAGTATTTGATTGAGAGCCACAGAGACTAAAGTCGTCTACTAATAATACCCAGAGCCACTATGGCAGGGTGAAATTCCTTATTCAAGGGCCTGCCAACCTCCAATGCTGAAGGTATGTCCACAACCAAATCAGCCCTTGGGCTCCCTGCCAGTGAGGAAGCCAATTCACATTAGCAGAGGAGTTTTGGGCACAGACACCTGCCTAACAGGTATTTAACCAACAGCAGAGAGTCATTTGGCAGAGGTCTCCTGTTCATTTGCATTTAAGCTTTGTCTACTACAGAGTTGCATCCAACTGACTTGTTCAGGTGGCAAAGAGCACCCTGTCCTCTCCTCCCTACACAGGTTCTCTCCCTTTTATTTTTTTCACGTAAGAGAGCCTCTCCCCAGAAGCCTTTAATCCCCATCATTTTCTTCACCATTAGACTTGCATCCTGGAAAGCCAGGGCACAGAAGGAATAGCACGGTGTCTGCAAGGCTTCCCGCTCCACCATCCTCACCTTAATGGGTCTCTCCAGCTCTGGCTTTTTATAGCGGAGCCACATCATGCCGATGATTGCCAGAGCCACGCAGAGCCAGTTGAAGAAGCTAAAGAAGTTGATGACGGAGAAGATATCCTTGGAGAAGGCATACATCAGGGTCATAATACACTGCAACCAGAAACAAAAGCCATGAGCCAAAGGACAAGCGGGCAGAGAATACCACACGCTGCCAAAGGGTAACTATCCGCCCTCCAGAAACAGCAAAGGAAATGCAGGTGAGCTCACTGGAGGTGCCTGAACTTTTACTAACCTACTCCACGGAATTATTTCAAAATGAAACCTGCTATCCAAGGACATGTTATGGTAACAAGAGACATATCCAGTGCAGCGAGAAGGAAGGGGAGGTAGCAAGGAAAGTGAATCCAAGGTGATGGAAGAGCCAGACGTGGAAGGGACAATGCACGATGATTGCACCCTACAGCTCTGCTAGAGCCACCTCTGTCCTCATCTAAGTCACTGCCTGCTGTTCCTGGCTAAGTCCTTTCCATACAGCTCAACCAAAGCATTTCAATCCTCACACTCAAGCCTATCCACACCAGTCCCCTTGTACTTCTGCTACACTACTGTAAGTTATTTTGTGCCTCTTACACAGCAAGTGTCCTGGGAAGCAGTGACTCCGAAGAGAACCTGAAGTTCACAGTGGACAAGCAGCTGCACAAACTCCCAGTGTGATATCATAGTCATAAGGGCCAATGCAATCCTTGGATGTATAAACAGAGGCCTCTGGCTTAGGAGTAGAGAAGCAATATCACCCTTGTGCTTGGCACTGGTGTGACTACTACGAGAATAATGTGCCAAGTTCTGTTGTCCATAATTCAAGGAGGATGACAAATGGGAAAGTATTCAGAGAAGAACCAGACTGGAAAATATGCCTCACAAGATGCATCCAAATTGCAATGGGGGATGTAATAGCTGCAAGCATATGCATGCTTGTTTTAGTTTAGCTAGCTCAATAAAGACATGTCTGCCCTGATTTTAGCATGGGCTAATAACCCAAGGAATTCCTGGAGTCCTGAGCTCACCACTATTGATATGCAAGCCAGCGAGTTAAAGCTGCAAAGGGTTTGAGCATATATGCTGCAGTCACACCTCTGATCACACAGCACAAATACTCACAGATTCCATCTATTTAGTTTAAACAAACAGAGACAAAGATGGGACTCAATCACGGTCTGTAAGGACATACACTAGGAACAGAAAACCTGATAGTAGAGGGCTCATCAATCTACCACCCAAAGGTACCAGGCAAAGGTAAGAACCAGTGGCTGGAAGCTAGACATATTCACTCAGCCTAGGTAAGAAGCAACTTGACCCATGAAGGCAATCCATCTTGGGAACAATTCACCAAGGGATATATTGGATTCTTGGAATTAATTTGTTATGTGATCAGATCTAAAAGCCCACACGACACTTACTGTGAAGATGAGAGAAGGCACTGGAGTGAGAAGCCTGGGATGGATCATGGACAGGATGGAGGGCAGGTGGCCCTCCCGGGATCCCACGAAGAACAGCCTGAAGGCAAAAAAGCAGTTACTTTTACAGCCACCCCCAGAAGCTGTCTGGGATCACTCGTTCAATCCAGAATTACAAACAGGACTTGACAGGCCTGGCTTTTGGGTCCTGGGTAAGACCTTAAAAAATAACCACTCTCGCTCGCCGGACCCTTCTCATTGTGTCTGTCTATGGCTGCGCTTCCAAGCGCAGCTCCAGACCAAGAGCGAGCACCGGAAAAGGAAACCTGCAAAAAACCTACCGGGAAGAAGTAAAGAGGGATCCATTGACAGATCCAAAACACGACAAGCCAACGAAGACAGGTATGATCCAGGACATCATACCGAGGTGATAGTTTCCGAAGTCCTAGGAGGAAGCAACAAGAAAGCCATTCTGTCACCTCTGAGCACTTGCAGCTGTCAGCACAGTTTTAAAAATCAGGACTGTACCACTGACTAACTAGGCAGAGATTTTCCATATTGCCTTTTCCAAACCTTCAAAGCACTTTGCACACTTGAGTTATGGACAACAGAGTTTGCATCGCTCAGCGTTCCCCCTGTGGGTGTGCATTCGAGCAGGGCCAGGCACACCATGCAACTTTTGAAGATCGACAATATGCAAAATCCTGGAGCAGACAGAAACTGCAGGATTCCGCCTGAGCGAATATGGTTCGAGTCGGCACCCCGATTTATGTAGGATCTTAGATGAACAGAAATCACAACCTGACTTGAGACTAAATCACCGCTGGATGAATCCAGTTCCATGTCAGTGTCATTCTCTTGATTTACTTCCAAAGCAATGTAACCTGGGCTGGTACAAGTGGCACTGTGTAATACTGTGCCTGTACTATCCTCAGTACAAACTCAGAGAAGGGAGCTGCTTACTGAACCACATACACCAATATATATCGGACTGAAGGGTTCCTCTCCAATTGGCCCGGTTGTGCTAAGCTAGTGAGATTACCCAAGGCTGCATTTTCTCCAGGATTTCTCTTGGCACTGTGATTTTAATTACTACAGTAGTACTTACTAGAAAAAAAAATGGGAAAAATGAATAAGAAAGAACTGAGCAAGAATAGCCTGATTTAATATGGATGTAGCAACCTTTTCCCATGCTCAGTTAAGCTGTCAGCAGCACCTCCGAAAATTCATGAACAACAGTGCCATTTTATTAAATGCTCGCCTTTCCTTTCCTCTATGATGACTCCAACTCAGTACCTTTTGGGAAAACTCTGCCCACCCCCAAAACCTTTCTTTATTGCCTATCAAAAGATCATGTTTTTGCAAGCAGCCATGCTTACAGTGCTGAATGAATCAGGAGATGCAACTAGAGATTACAAGACTGGGTCACCGGTGTAGGAAAACAGATGGATGCATTCTGGATGTGCTTTATCTTACCACAGCCACGGCTTCTGACGTCAGCATTTGCTCTGTTGACAGTGTAGTGAAGTAAGCCAAGTTTGTCAATACGTAAACCAGGGTGACTACAGGCAGTGAAATGATGATGGCCAATGGCAGGTTTCTGGGAGGAAAGTGAAAATCATAATGATGGATTAGGATCCAGGGCTCTGTAGTTCAGAGAGAGACATATTTCAAGGCACAGTGTGGGCTAGGGAAGGAAACTGCTGTTGCAAAGGTCAGCTTTTCTGAACAGATTTTAGACTAGCTTAAAAAGGTGCCACAAATTCTTCTGCTTTTCTTTGCCAAGCACCCAGCTTCCAACCTTGATTTTGCTCTCCATGGAGAAGTAGAAAACATCAAAATAAAACATGATCCCACCCGACTGGCAAGGAGGCAGAGCTGGGAGCAGCAGGAAATGGGACTCGGCGGGAGGAAGTTTGTGCAAAGGACACCGAGTCGCTGAGCAAGTAGTGCTCACGTTTACTGCAAAAGCAATTCCTTCAAAGACCCGGGGCATGCCTCATGCCAGCTCGCCATGTTAAAACTTGCACAGTCTCCTGATGTGAGAATAAGCATTTGTGTGCTGGTGGCTGTTGAGAAGGGAGACAGAAAGATTAGGGGTTTAGCTGGTAGTCAGCACATTAAGACCAAAGAGCTCACTGCAGCCCCTGGGAAATACACTTGGATGCAACCAGAATACAGCCACAAAGAGGCTTGTGTAGAGGCACATTTGCCCTTTCTGAGAAGTTAACTCAGTTTACACACAATAATTAAAAAAGAAAACCCTTCCTAATGCAGCATATAATCGAGCTGTGCAGTTTAAAGCCACAGGAAATCAAATGCTGTGACTGCATTTGGAAAAGGAGGGGATCGCTACAGCCGGCAAATACCTTTTCAACTATGCTCGCTAAGGAAAGGGTAATCAAATCTGATCCTGCAGGGGTCAAGCAGGTATTGGCCCCCTGTGTAACTGAACCCACAGCCAGGATCTGGGTTTTGCCAAAAAATTTCCCATGTGGTATGGTCAGCCTCATACAATCTTGGAATAAGCAAAACAGGGACAGAAAGGCCCATTGCTTTGGTTGCGCGGGGGTGGCTGTTTAGGTCAGAAGTAAAATAGCAGAGCCCTGGGAGCCCCCCTCAATATTTTGTGGCACGTAGCTCACAAAACTGCAAGAAAACACCAAAAGGAATAGGAACACCTTTCCTCCGCCCACCAGTAAGTCACAGTGGGCAAATGACACAGCTGCCACAGTGAGGAACTGGGACTTTCCACTGTGGTCCACCACAGGGCTGCTGCACTGACTTGCATTTTTACTCCCTTTTTGTCCTCCTTCCACAAACAAAAAACAAATCTCATTATCTATCAGGCTTTGCCCATGGCCGAGATCTCATTTTTTTCTTCAAGTGAAATCTTGTTCCTGGGGATGGTTAATAACATTTTTTTCTGCTTGCAAAAGGCAGCTTCACACCAATGGAAGGAAGCATTCTTTCAAGGTCGACCATGGGTAAGTTTTCATCCCTAACCAAGCAGTCACCACAGGGCACGCATACCTGTAGGGGTTTATCATCTCCTCAGTGACAAAATTCAAGTAATTCCTGCAATTTAAAAAAAAAGATGAGATTAATTCTGGTTGCAGCACATGATGACAGCCCACCCCCCTACACTCTGTGTACACGCAGATGGAGATGCCTGTAGTAATCAAAGGGCTCTGGAGCACCTAAGGAGGGCATGCTGCATCTCATCTCTACAGCAGGGAGGTTTGAGACCTGAAACAGGTGTTTCTCGTCAGTCCGGCATGCAGTGCAGCTGACTTGCTTGCAATGTGACGGATCTGTGTATGTCGGGACAGCTAGCAGCACTGCTACACTGACAGGACGACAACGACTGCAATAGCTCTCTGTTTGCACTGCACGCAAGAGCAACAAGAAATGAATAAAGAAGCCACTAAAACAGGGGGTCTCAGCTGGGGTACCACAAGACTCAGGGGGGCTGTGATAGAAAAAAGCATCTCTTGGTTTTTCTTGTACTCCCTCTCCACACAGCTTGGGCATTTCTCCAGGGAGCCCCTACATTTATTCCGTTTTAAATACTCTAAAAACCAGTGCTTCCTTGTAGCTGCACGTACCACTCCCCTGCAGGCTAAGACCCCAGTGTGACTGCCACCAGACAAAAGGACATGATGGCACTGTCCTCTTGGGGACACAAACTCTTATCAGGAGCCAGAGACAAGGAACGGCGCTGCACTGTGACGACAACAAGAAATCAGCCTGCATCTTACCAGCCTCCGTAGGCAAAGAGGCCGCTGTACAAAGCCAAAACGATGTTCCCCACATCTACTTTGGTGCCTTCGAAGGCGTGTTCAGGTCTCAGGCTGGACACGTTACCTAAAGAGGACAACAATAGAAAAAATAAATTAAAAAAAAAGGGACAAAGATTGCAGGATGTAAGAGCTGGCCATACTGAACTGCACAGGCCTTCCCAGGCTGACACGGGCAAGCGTTGAAGGCACAGTCCCACGAAACCATTGAGCTGAAGCTGTTGGAGAACACCTGTTGTGTTGGGGCCTGGGCGGTTGTGTTAGGGACAGCATGTTCAGGTTTCCATGGGGTTGCTGCCTGCCGGCAAAACAAACTAGAGAGAGGATTCAGGCTCAAACCCCACTAAGATAAGTTAGCAGCTGACTGAAGCTGGATTTCTCCCTTCCCCACAGTGTTGGCTCCCCTGGTAGCAGAGAGAGTCTCCTGGCCACCTCTCCACGCACAGCCCTTTGGAGCCCTTCTCACGCGCCAGTGTTGTTCCGACACCATCCTTGCACCAACAAGTGTTTTTTCTTGATAAAAGCCATGGATTTCCTCCAGTTCCCCCAGCAATCCAATTGAGCAGAATGGTGGGAAGGGAAGTCATGTACTTTGGGGTCCAAATATTAGAGGTTCCTGTTATTTGTCTGCTTTTGAAAGAAAAGGGAGACTCGATTGTACGCTTGCTAAGATCTCTTCCAACAGAGCCACGGCGTTTATTTATGTTGCTTTAAAGCTCTGCTGTCGTTTTGTTTCGTGCCTTTTGATCTTGGGCCTGACTCCAGACCTGGGGTGAGGGAAGCCACATGCCTTCAATGCAACAAGTGCTCTCCTTTGTGAGGAAGGAAGGGGGGAGCCCTGCAAGATTTGGGAAGGCACGTTAGCATCTGACTCGACCCGTTGCCTCCCATGTGATTCTTCTTAGGGCACGGATCTGCACTAATCACGCAGGCAACTGTATCACATGGCAATCAGCAGTGCTCGGGGTTGAACCCTCCGGACACCGCAGACCACATTCATCTCTGGGAAGAAAGGGTATTTCTGTGAAAAGTCTACCTTCTTTGGACTGCAAAATTGCAGCTCCCTTGCAGTGCCCAGCTGTTACCAGCACCACGGTTACAGAGGCAGGATAAAAGGAGGACCACGGGATGCGAACCAAAGTGACAGAGGGATTGCTGGGCTCAGCCACTTCTGCATCCAGCAAGTGCTATCGCTGAGAAAGGAAGGCTTTTTTCTCTGGTGCAAGGGCTCTGCATTTTCTTCCCGGGGTTGGCTGTGCTCCAAGTCGGTGCCACGACCAGCTGCCCAGCTACATGCCCTCTAATGATGAGAAAACACATACTTCCCCCTCCACCCGACCCCATGCTTATCTCCTTCCCCTTACGTCTCTGCCCTGCTCCCACTTCTCTTTCATCTCCACCAACAATTTAGCCAATTATACCCTGGCGTATGCACCAAGTGCTCCTTTGGTCTTGCCACGTGATGGCTGCACTACCTGAGCCTGCTCTTGCTAAGGTGCTTGGTCTAATCTCTTCCACCCCTGCAGCATATTAGTCACAGCTGGCAACACGGTCCTGGATACACAGCAGCAGAAAGCGCAGCAGCTCTCCCTCCCTGCCACCCTCGTGACAAAGAAACAGAGTGTTGAGGAGACCTCGGCAGGCTCTCCGGCATTTTTTCTTGGGGATCCC